TCAGTTCGTTCGAATAAGACTGTCTTATACTAAATTTGATAAAATTTGTGTGATTCTAAATCGTTTTTACTTTATTTTTACTTTATCAATTTAATATCAACCACATAAAGCACTTTTATTAATTAACGCACTACATTCTCATGTCCCAATGATAGTGGAACGGGGGTAGTATAATCCACGAAGAATTGATACATAGTTAAAAAGTGCAGATGTTAAAAATTACATGTTAAATAGGTGTAAATTATTAAATTCCATTCCTAAATAAGTGTAACATGTTAAAATTACACTATTAACATGTTTTACTTTGATTACGCTCTATTTGTAGATGTATTATTAAATTATTTTTTCAATAATATTATAAAATTTGTCTCGTTGTAAATTTTTAAAATCTTATTTTTTTAGTTTTTAATTAATAGAGAATAGTATATAATAATGATCAAAGTTGTATATCGATAAATATAAAAAGTTGACCGTTGCGCTTATTTGAAAACAAAATAAGTACATTTTAAGAACGTGCAATTTGAGTGCAGTTGGGAAGTCGGGTTAGTAATAAATTTCAAGTGTATATAGTTGTTGAGTTAATGTGCTTTATGGCAATTCAGAAGATTTGGAGAAGTCTTTTAAACTAATAAATTGCATGTAAAAAAATATGAATTTCTTATGAAAAGTTTGAGTGCAATTTATAATAAAATATAAATATTAGTTGATATTCCTTTACATTAGTTGTGACTCTTAAGGAAATCTATTTTTTTTTTATTCTAATCCAACATAAAGTTCTAATTTTTAGCAATTGTAACTACCGAAAACAATTAGTTCAAGATTTTTGGAGTTCTAAAATCTATGAAGTATTCTAACTTTAGGAGTAAATAGTATACGTACAAAGTAATCTAGATTTTAGGAGCTTTAATTTACTTCTAAATTTTAGAATCTGGGAAGTCGGGTTAGTAATAAATTTCAAGTGTATATAGTTGTTGAGTTAATGTGCTTTAGGGCAATTCAGAAGATTTGGAGAAGTCTTTTAAACTAATAAATTGCATGTAAAAAAAATATGAATTTCTTATGAAAAGTTTGAGTGCAATTCATAATAAAATATAAATATTAGTTGATATTCCTTTACATTAGTTGTGACTCTTAAGGAAATCTATTTTTTTTTAATTCTAATCCAACATAAAGTTCTAATTTTTAGCAATTGTAACTACCGAAAACAATTAGTTCAAGATTTTTGGAGTTCTAAAATCTATGAAGTATTCTAACTTTAGGAGTAATAGTATACGTACAAAGTAATCTAGATTTTAGGAGCTTTAATTTACTTCTAAATTTTAGAATCTAGTTTTTTTATAATGAAGGGATTGCTTAGAGAGCATGACACATGGCAAAATTTTCCTTAATTGTATCTCTCAAATGTATTATCTATAGATAACTGACTCATATGAGGTACTAACCCGACTCGGTTGATTTAGTAAGCCTGAAAACACTATAGTAATACTTCTATTAACCTTATGTCTTATGATTTACAACCGAGTCATGGTTAGTGTGAATACATAGGTTTCTCATTCCATCAATGTGTATCTGTTAACTTGGACTGTCTCACAACTTAGTCTATTTCTATAACGAATGACATGGTTATTCAAATACACGAAACTAAGATAAATCATTAGATGTGGATATATGGTTAGTCCATTATGGTGATCACCGCTTTCTCCCGTGTAATGAATACAAGTAGAATACATTATATTACCTTGGTGACATCAATATATACAGATATAATGTCGTAAGACAATTCATGTTAAATTGTCATATCCTAAGACATATCAATGCGTTGTAGGTACATTCTATTTATTAACAGATAGTACTATTCGATAAACAATTATTGTCTTTTATGATCATCCATTATACACTAATTTAGGTGACAACTCCGGTACCCATCCCCATTTAAAAAATGGAGTACCTACCGTACCTACCATGCATTTGATTGGTCCAAATCATTATATCCTTTTAAATTTAGATTTAAATAATTCAAGTGCATCATTCTGATTGGTCCATGTGGGCAAGGGTATGGTACCTTAAGGGTACCATAGACTCTACCACCAGTTATTAACCCACTGAATCATTATACTGAGTTGATTAAATATACCTGTTTATACAAATTACATAGAATATGAAACAATATTGGTAATAACAACCCAATAATCAGTTATCACGAAATTTGGACTTACTTAGAATTACAAATACGAAATGGTATCCCTTGTAATCAGCTTGTCCGAAAAAATTCATGATCATATAATTTGTATGTATCAATCTATACAAGAATTATGAGAATTGTGTAGACTTGATATAATTATGGACATGATCGGTTAACATATTATAGGTAATCCTCAATTCATATTACCATACTTGGAATTGTGTATTAATTCCACCTATTAATTAAATCTTGGTCAATGTATGACACAACTTTGGTAAAATCTTATACTAGGGTATTACTTACCCTAGTATTATACATGGTTAACCCAGGGCCGGCCCTGGACAAGGGCAGGCCGGGCTTGTGCCCCGGGCCCAACATTTACAGGGGCCCATAATTATATGTAAATGGATAAATATAGAGAGGACAATTCATATCAGACCGAGTTCATTTGGAGCCCTTTATGGAAGAATTTTTTTATGAAACTTTTTTAGAGTATTATTCATCAAGTGTAAATTACATTCAAAAAATTTAGTTTAAAAGCAACCGGGAAGTCAGTTAAATAAAATATTGAAACACATTGTGCTTTGTGTATATAAATAATGCGCACTATGTTTCAATAATTTATTTAACTGACTTTTAGGTAGAATTTTAATCTGAAACTTTGTGGAGATATTATATATTTCATGAAGAATATATTTAAAAATTTTCATGAAAAAATTCTATCGGGAAGGGCCTCAAATGACCCCGGTCTGACATCATTTCCCATTAGGCAAGCCTAATTTCAAGGTTTCATCTTTGGACTTTAATTCGTTTTGCTCAGCAATTAACACTCTCCTAATTTTCTCAAAAATATCTTCCAAATTTGAAATTTCAATTTCACAAGTAATTCTCTGGTTTTATTTTTTATTTTTTAATATAATTTTTATTCGTTTAGTTTATATATTAAAATTTTGATGAAAGACTTACATTACTTTGTATGTTGAAATTTGCGTATATAAAGTTAAGCTTTTGCAATATATTTATATAACCTTTTAAGGGCCTTCTTTTTTCAATCGCACCGGGCCCATAAAATATCAGGACCGGCCCTGGGTTAACCCACGATTACCAATTATAGCTTGAGGTCATAAGTAACTAAAGATACTTTGGCTAGGTATCATAGAAAACATAATTATGCTTTCTAATTCTATCAGTTCATAATTTTAGATGTAACCATCTATGACCTATATACGTAAAAATTAACCCAAATCTATAATGTAATAGTATTAAATAATACTATAAAATGTCTACTGTTGATAATACTATTATCTTACAAGACTAAACATAATATTTTGCTTGGTGTACACAAATTGTGTACACCTTTGGCACCCCATATAAAAGGCCCCTATTTTTACCAACATTTACCCCCTCCAAAAATTCTGCCCTCTCACAACCCTCCCTTCCACCTCCCCTGCGCAGAACCATTCCGCCAAAAAAAATCGGAAGCAAGATCGAGCTACAGTGATATCCTTCATCTTTTCTAGTAAAAGTCTTCTTCAATGGAGCTAAACTGGAATGATACATCTGAGTGGGTTGATGGCTTACTATTGGATAGCATGATTTTTGGAGAGCTAGGTGATGAAGGTGAAGATGATGCTTGTATGCCGGTTTCCGGCAAACTGGATGCGAGGTCGAGGGCGGATGATGAACAAGGTCGGTCGAAGGCTTGAGTATTTGTTGTTGTCTTGGTTTTGTTTTCTTGATTTTCTTGATTTTGTTTTCTTGATTTTTTGGTGTATTTGGGATATGAAAAGGGTTGTCTGTCTAACAGACTAGTTATAAGTGCAGTGTCTGTCTACTGAAACATAATAGGGTTGTTGTTTGACTCATATGTAAAATGTCTGTCTGACAGACAATGTAATTTGTTTGTCTACATAGAAATAATATTTGTATGGGCATTCAAGTATTGGTACAAGAGTTTTTTGTAGTATGTTTTGATGAATAATGTAGTTGTTATGTGAAAGTGTGTATAAGTTTTGGGCATGTGGTTGTATTTGTGAATGTACACAAGAATGTTGTGAAAAAAATTAGGCATACTATTGTCTGTCTGGACAGACAACATGTTGTGAGTTGTAAATTGTTATGAACATGTATTTTTTTTGGAATATATAACAGACGAAGAGGAAGAAAAGAGTAGTTATAAAGACCCCAATGTAGTTTCCTAGTAAAGAGGCAGTTTATGATTTCTACAAGGCTTATGGTAGAAGAGTGGGGTTTCCTGTTAGACAACGGACTTCAAGTAAAGATAAATCCGGCAACATCATTGCGATTGTCTTAGAATGTGCCTGTGCTGGAATTAAGGCTAGCCGGACACAAAATATTTTGAAGCGTCAACCTTCAATGCAAGTTGGTTGCCTTGTAAGAATAAGAGAACGTACAGATTATGTCGGAGGATGGGTAATTTCAAAGTCCTGTTTAGATCATAATCATGATATGAGTCATACGAAGGCAAGGCTATTTCGGTATAATCATTTATGGAATGTATGAATGATAATGAGTTGGACTTAAACCTTAGTTTGATGTAGTTTATCATGTACTTTCTTTTGTGCTTTGAACATTATTACCTCGTATAAACGTAATGTGTGTGAATGATAACAGGGAGACTGAAAACTTAAGGTTCTTATGAATCATCAATGTTGCGTTGCTTCAAATAATAGACAGACAATACATATATGTACACAGACAAAATACATAACCAGACAGACATTTTGTGTTGTGCAAATCACAGACAATAGAAGTATGTTAATGGTGAAAATATTCACAGACAAAACGATAGATTCCATACAGACAAAATATCCACATAAATAAGTGGTCAACTCTGATTGTAATATTTGCAAAAAGTCATACATGCTGAAAATATAGCAACCAATTGTTGAAGATTATTGTACAACATTGAGTATCTAACATTGTACAACATTGAAAATATAACATTGGACCATCACGCCACATTAATATTGAATTTCATACGATTCTTTTTGTTGAGGCACAATATCCGCAACTTCTGCTTTCCATGGTTGCAAATCACTGTCATCCGCACACAAACCCATTGCACGAACTAGGTAAGGCAGCCGCGCACACAACTCCTTAGCATAAAATGGAGTCCTATAAATCATAAGCGAGTCGTAAACTCTAACCAGTCTACTCCCAAACAAAACTTCCGCAAAGACCCAATGCTTCTTTTTTATATTTAAAGGAACCAAAACCTGCCAAAAATTAACAATTCATCAAAAAGTCTAGGTGTTCTATCGAGACAAACAAAATATTAGCAAAATTAAAATAGACAGACATTTACAAGACTTAGACAGACAATACCGTTTGTAAAGATTTCCAGTCCAGCTTTTGCAGGTATTTATCTCCACTTCAATGTTTGTCGTTGCCTATCTCTTTTTTAAGAATTTTATGCTACAAAGTACAAACATTATATAAATTAAAACCATAGTTCCTCTTTGGGCTGGTTGCACACAAGCCTCAACAACAAGCTATGGACAATTTGCGCAAAGAACTGAAGGTCTGGCACATCAAGAAGATGGACCCACGGCATATTCCGAAACTGAGCAAGTTGCTGAGGAGACAAAGCTGATTTCACCAACTTTGTAGCGTCTTTCAATTCTGAACATAGTGATATTTGAGTAGGGAAGTGATCACGGACAGGAACTTGCAATTCGAAAGCCCTATAACATGTCCAAAAATGCACACCACATAAGACAGACAAGTCAATAAGAATGACAGACATTAATCTATCACATCACACACATTTATAAATTCCTTACAGACAACTCAAAACACAGGACAGACAAGAAAATATGAACGACAGACAAATGAAACTATGTTTAGCAGGAAATAAGAATATGCTTACATAAATTAATACGAAGTAATATACTTGTTCATTTGTAAGGAACTATTTGAGTCTTGTTTGCATTGAAGATATACATATATTTAATTAATTCAAAGGTGGGCATATTGCATATATACCCGTTTCAGTTTGATTTATATCAGTTTTTTGTTTGATTTTTGTTTGAAACGGGAAGAAAGATTACCAAAGAAAAATCATAGAATGTTTAGGTTTGATTCGGTTCAGGGTTTTTCAATTTGGATTTGTTATTTTGAAAATACATTAAGAATTTATTGAATATTTTAGTTTGGTTCGGTTTTAGAGAGTTTTTCACTGTTTCAATTCGATTTCATTTACTTCGATTTGGAAATACTATCAAAATTAAACCGAACTGAACTCATATGGATTTACCATCTGTCCATCAAAACTTTGTTTGACTTTTTAAGTCAATAGCGGTGAAACCTTTATTACAACTGTTTTTACTCAAAATAAATAATGTTTCAAGGTATTATTACAAAAAGCATTATAGACAAAATGGGGGAAACAACTCAAAGCATGTATTTATAACATCACAGACAATTATAAATTCCTTACAGACAATTCAAAACAAATGACAGACAACTCAAAACAAATGACAGACAACTCAAAACAAATGACAAACAACTCAAAACGAATGACAGACAACTCAAAACAAATGACACACAACTCAAAACAAATCACAGACAAGGAAATATGAAAGACAAACATGTATTTAAAACATCATAGACATTTATGAACTCTTTACAGACAATTCAAAACGTGTAACAGACATCTCACAATACACAAACAACATGTCAGACAACTCTTAAATCACATAAACAAAATTAGGTCTTGTTTAATTAAATTAAATCAATTATGCTAAAGTGACTACTACACAAGGATAAAAAAATTACCTTTCACCAAGATCTGTCAAACTACTTCGCACCATAACTTCAAACTGGTTTCCACGTAGAAGCGAGGGGTGGTTGCGCTCGTTCCTTCTCTGCGCCACACAGGGGTTCAACCTTGTACCAGCGCAAGCCGTTCGTTGTTGGAGCAAGCCTTCGTCGGTTTTTCAAAGTCAGTGCCACACAGGATTTCAGCCCTCTTTTCTCTGCGTTGTTGTTTCTCCCACGTAGCAGGGACACACCGGCGAAGCTCAGTTCAGTACGACGAAGGTCGGTTCTATCACCTTCATCTTCAGTCCTCTGCATTAGTGCTGGCCGAACGGGAGTAGGGCGGAAGATTCGGATTTCGAGGGGTGCGTGCGGGAGTGGGGCAGGAGATGTCGATGGGTGGAAGACAAAATTGAGATGAGGTAAATTTTTGAATTGGGAAGGGAGGAAGGTAAAAAAAAGGAGAACCTTTTATATGAGGTGCCAAGGGTGTACACAAATTGTGTACCCCTAGCAAAATTCCTAAACATAATGGATGATGGGGTTAATTCAAATAAACCTTAGACAATATACCTCGTATTCACTAAATTATATAGTTTAGTAAAGACTAAACAGTCGGTTATCTGCCGAGATACTATTTTAAGTCAATTTACTATGATTGACTTACGAGTGAACGGCTTGATTAAATTCAAAATGGTTAGTACTATTTGTATATATTGATACTACTTAACATAGTATTAACCAAGTCAAACCCTGACATCATATGAGAATACTCAGAAATAAACACGGGATAATATGGTAGGTATAATTCCGGTTAACAATAATATTATTTGAGTTAATGTGGCATACAATAGTATGCTACAAACAATATATTAGTAACCAACACATTAGACAGTATGTCATTTACTAATCCACGTTATAACCGATCTCCGAATAGACGGTTTATATAGACACTATCAAGTTTACAAAGAGTATTATAGCACATAAATTGAGGTATATTTGTTAAGTGGGTGTTATTGTAAAATATAAATCGTACACCTATGTTTTAAATATTTACAATTAACTATTATCGTGAAATGCAGGGGCGGATCCAGGATTTAATGTTAGACTGGGCTGAAAATTTTAATTGATAATACATTGATTTTTTTTCAAAACAAGCGAAAAATCAAATATAAAAGTTATCCCCTAAATTTGTTCTAGACAAGGCTTTGAAACAAAAAAACTCATCAACAATAGAGTTTACATCTATACTGAGAGTAATATCTTTTTCAATGTAAAATGTCATGCAATTAGCAAGAAAACTATCATCCATTTTGTTGCAGAGTGTTGCCTTTAGAAGTTTCACGACAAAAAATGATCATTATATCTACTGTTGCAGTAGAAACAATAAGACCAATACGAAGTGAATCAATCTAGTCATCTTAACATATGAATCAGACCTTTTGCTTTTAGTTAACTCCTCACATAATTCAAATCACGAATGTCCTGACTACTAAAATCTTCGGGATAAAACTTCCTTACAAGAGTACAAATAGCATCGGCATTGAAACGACTCATATGATTTTTTTGGATCAAATGAAACACTCAAAGAAAGGAGTTCCACTGATTTATCATTAAACCGGGTCGTTAACTCCATGAATAAAAGTATATTACCTCGTTGAAAACATCGAAGTGGTAATGATTCTCAATTGTAGCTTCTTTTCAGCAATGACCAACCATATATTTAGAAATTATAATTCAAGTCTGGTGCATGAATTTATTTTTTGAGAAAAACTCATTTACTTCTTCAAAAAAACATTCCCATCTATTTTCTATCAATTCCTAAGAATGAGTTGTGTAGTAGAAAGATGTCTCATGACTACCGATATATTCAATAATTTTTTTTGAAGACTTTGAGAGAGAATAGTCGTTAATCCCATAACTTTGTGCATCAAACTAAAGTAAATTGAACACAAATTCAAAACATGAAAAATGTCTATATACACAACAAACTTCTGCCCAAGAACTCACTTTTGGGCAATTAATGTTGTTGAAGATACTCAAACACTTTACAAGTTCATGTGAACATGTTAATTAATCAAGTTCTTAATTGAATCATATTTTAAGTGCCACTTATTAAGTGCCACTTATTAAGTGGGAGGTGATGTGTATAACATTTATATTAGATTTTTAGATGGTAAGATTTTGTTTTATAGACTAGGTTGAAAAATTGGACTGGGCTATACAAAAACCCGGGGTGGGCTAGATGGAATTATGTCAAAATAATACCTTAAAAAAATATTTTTTTTTGCTTTACCCTGGGCTTCAGCTCACCATAGCCCTAACATAGATCCTCCCCTGGTGAAATGGATAATATCTTAGTAATATGGACTTAGTCTATGTCCATATACAGTTATATGGTTAACGATTAGTATCGTTAATGAACAATTACTGTTAAAGCAACTCTGTGACAAAGATGTAGCCCTATGTTTGGAACATGTACTAAATGAATAATTTATACCAACGATTTACCAGTCGTTAATAGGCTATATTAATAAATATAGCCTATTAACCCTGCCCATGATATGGGCTTTGTAAGAATTTAACTAATGATCATTTATTGGGCCAAATAATCAATTAAAATGAGCGGATAGGATTGGATCTATAAGAATTTGTAATGTATGTTGTTTATTAAATTTCTAATATTTGTTTATTATTTATATACGATGTCTCTCATTCATGAGAAAAAATAATATCTCTATAACTATACTTGCACATTAACATTTACTCCGTACGTACAATATAAATATATTATAACCCGTGCAACGCACGAGGTGAAATACTAGTATAGCCTAATCTTCCAGGTCACCAATTAAACTACTATCGAGTCGTTTAATTATGTATAGTCTAGGTACCATTTATAATTTAACTCATCCCGGATAATATCTTATGATGACCAATCCCGTTTACTAATTCTGATAAGTAATATATTAGTCGGGTAGATACCGACAATTATGGGACGTGAGTATTGTCCCACCAGTACAATATATATTACACAAATCTTATATCCACAGAACGTATTCTCGCTAGTACTCCATATATTAAACATATCAGACTAATTCTATAATACCTAAATAGACATTCCGTATCATTCGGCTATAACCCCCTCGTACGTAGAATATCTCGTGTATAATTCTAGAATCTACGTATATAATCTATTTACTCTATGATGACACTATGTTTTCAGGCTTACTATATGTTTAACCATATTTGAAACAGTGTAAATGGGTTAAATTGATATACCGTTATTAACATGGAACCTAAACAATTGTATTCAGACACTGAAGACTTGTATATTTGCATAGAATTTAAGCCAAATTATGATTCCATACCCTTTAATTAATCATGTGGGAAATGTATTCAATAGACTAAATCACTGTAGGTCACAATATACCCTAGTGATCTTTAATATTAAAGGGTAATTGTACGCAGCGGCGGAACCAGGGGTGGGCGAGCCGGTGCCGGCGCCACCCCTTCGCCGGCGTCGTTAAGGTATTTACTGGTAATATTTTGGCCGGCGCCCCTGAAGCCTTCTACTTTCTCAGTCAACCGGCACCCGACGCCCTGTCTTTTGCTCGCTGATACGAAACACGAAGCTACGAACTAAGGTTTAGAAAATCATTTAGCTGAACGACATCGTTTGATGAAGTTAAAAAAGAAAAAAAAAACACAAAGTGAAACGACGGGCAGTTATTCAATAAACGACATTCCATTTTCTCAATATTAAAAAATTTAAAATAACTGAATAAACATTATGTCCTCACAATCGTACTCCTTAGGTTATTTTGACCGTTCAATTTACTCAGCAGCTCAGCCCAAAAAATCGAAGAGGCCAGGAGGAGGAATTGAGGAAGACTGATGATTTGAAAACCAGCCACCGCCCGCCGGTGCTGTGCTGGACCGCTGACCATCTCTGGAAGCCGGAAAATGGAAGACATGGGTGCTCGCTGCTGCGCCTTTTGGTGATGAGTTGAAGACTAAAGTGGTTTGTGAGAAGGTAATGTTATCTTTGGATTATTTTGTTCTTTTATTTAATATGTTTTAATATTTGTATGTGTGAATTGTAATGTGTTGTTGAAGTGTGTGGCCTTTGTTCAATATTTTACATAGTATTAGATAGACACTTTACTCGACCTTTGTATTCGTTTATTTCTTTTAGTGTGTATTTGTTAAGGGAATAATCTTATTAATTTAATAGTTAATTTATTGATTAAATATAAACCATGGCTTATTATAATATGAAGTTGTTGTATAGTTTGTTAGGTTAATTATGTTAAAATTTCTAATAACGAGTGAAGAGTCTTCAAAAACCTCTACCGAGAAAAATAAAAGGTCAAAATTATCTCCTGTTGAATTCAATTCTGATCGATAAGGTGGTTGCTGATTAAGGTTTAGGTAAATCTATTTGTGATTTTGATTCTTTGAGTAGAGGTCATGCCTAAATCTATTTGTGATTTTGATTCTTTGAGTAGAGGTCATGCCCGTTTTGAGAATTAAAGATGTTTTTTTTATTAGATTGATATTTTCTATTCTAATTTGGTCTGGTCTGGTAGATGTATGGTCTGGTCTAGTCTGAACAGTTCGGGTCCGGACTGCAAAACGGTCCAAGCGAAAACATCTTAATTAATTATGGGTTTTTGAGTAGTTTTGATGCTTCATCGGAGCATGTTTCTCAGCACCGGCTCAAAGAAAGTTCTGGTTCCGCCACTGATTGTACGAGTTGAGTCGATGACTCGGTGATAACAGTTCTCGGTCCATGATTTACTACATGTTGTATTCAATTGGACAATGTGTAGATTGACCTATATTGTTTTTAATGGTTAATGGTATATGTGCCGTATGTATGAGGGCTTATCTGAACAAGGGGAACAATAATGTATACGGCAACTTCATGTTTAGATTTATGTACAAGTTCCATACAATTGTATTCATTAATGAAGAAATATAAAAATTGGCTCGAAATCATTTTGCAATCGAAGACTATATTTTGGTTCTAAAAACTATTTTTGATATAGTAATTGTCCCATATAGGACTAAAAGAGTAGAGAAATTCTCAAATAGGACCATGTATGATTTCTTTCCTAAATAGGATTATTTTACTCCTATTCCAAAACATCCGTAGTTTTTATTCCACAATTACCCCATATCCCTTTTACGCTCATATCTCTCCTCTCCCCTGCGCAAACAACTTCCCCATTCTTTCTTGCGCATAGATCTGTATCTCTTCCTTCACTACACATCATCGACCGACTTCACCCTAGCCATCGCCGTCACCGCCGACCTCGCCCTGCGCACAAGATCGATCGATTTCTCTCTCACGCCGCCGCTGCGGCCGATTCTC